TAACACACACAAGAGGATTAATACTGGTTCCCCAATTCCCCTCTAGGTGACTCAAACTCGGGATCTGGGATACGCCGAGCGAGGTATGCGCCACTGCGCTCAACCCTCTTCGTCCTGGAAGGGTGGTGTAGGCTATGTCTGGTAAAATTAGCTGATAAGACTTATAGGTGATTTTCGAGCTTATGATTTATACTTGAAAAGCTAGATTATATGATAAAAGTGATTTGTAAAATGTCTTGAGATAAGCTAGCTGAGTTTATTTGAAAAGCTACCCAAAGAAGAAGCTTATGAGATAAGCTCGAGCTTTTTTAAAAAGCTTGTCCAACCAAACGAAGTTTATTTGAATACAGGAAGCTTATAAGCTAAACCAAATAAGCTATAAAGGACATAAAGGACTGTGAATTAATAATCGCCATTGATGGAAATAGAGATAATAGATGTGAAGCACACAACAAACCTCCTAAAGACCGTAGACTACGGAGAGCAAGTTGAAAGTAGGCGCTCTTGAAACCATCTCCCCAATCCCCAGCTTTCCCTTTGATACTTACGTAGTAATATATGAGAGTTGCCAGAGCAAGAGAAACCACGGTGAACGTCCAAGAAATCAAGAACATAATAACTGCACCATAAAACATATAAGGTGCACTAAAAAGAAAAAAAGAGAAATAAAAAAAAAATGGCAAACAGTTATGATAAGTTACACATATTATTCTGAAAAGTCAGATAAAATTTCCATAAAATGGGCCCCAACATAAATGTTAATGCGGATCGAGTTACCTATACAGATTAGTGCTCCGACAAGGGAGATACTCCAATGGTGAAATTTCCACCGAGGGCGCCAGCTGGGAGCATCCAGAAGATCCAAAAGGAAACAAGACAAGTTCACTCCACCGTAGCAAAGAAGGTAAAACATTGTTACGGTTGGGGTAATAAGATCCAGATTGCCAATAACGACGCATCCAATACAGAGGAAGGCTGTGAAAAGAGTAGCAATGTGGGGCTCACTCCCATCCACCACCTTAAAATAATTAAGAACGGGTAAGATGTCATCATTGGCTATTGCCGCTAGAAGACGAGGGGCACCGGTTAGGCTCTGTAAGGCTGCACCTAAGGTGGATAGAATGATACCGATATAAATAACTGATGGAAAAGGCCAGGCAACAGTAGCTGTAAGTAACCTGCAAAGCAGCTCTGTTAATAAGCCCGNTGATTAAAATTGATTTGATGTAAAAGTAAGAGATAAATGATTGAATATGATAGGTAGTTAAAATTATGTGAGTAGATGAATAGTGAATTAAAGTTAATGTGATGTGTAAGAATGATTGCATGATATTATTTAATTATATTGATAATATTGAGGATACTAGGGTTGAAATGAAGTTGAGTTAGATTTTGAATTAAGATAGATTTTTTTTTTTAGTTTTTTTCCTAGTTTTTTTATAAACAAGCAAAGCCATAATGTGTTGCACCAAAATGAAGTAACAAGCACTACTTAAAGTGGAACTCACATAACATACCTGTCTGTCAGAAGTTTCTGCCTGGTGGCAAGAGCTCCGAAAAACAGCACTGAAACGAGATATAGACCTGAAGTTGTTAAAGTTGCAGCTAAAGTCCCGACAGGAATGGAACGCTGGGTGTCCTTAAGTGAGGCGGACCGGTTTGAACCTGCCATAATCCCCGTTACAGCAGGGAAAAAGAGACCAACCAATGCACTGACAATAATTAAAAAAAAAAAAAAGATAACAGTTAGATACGCATGTTCATAGTTAGGTCGATCCTAGAATGATAATCAGGCATCAGTAGTGGGGGAACTCAAATTTAGACTATCGGGTCATAGAAGATAATGCATATCATTCATTCTAACTGAAGCTCCTGTTTATACAGTACACTTTTCAAGGCATTCTTATGTTTTTCCATATTACATAGCAGCAACAAAGTTCTAAACAATGTGCTAAAATTAATAATTCCACAATCTTTTGACAGATAAATTATGGATATTATGATTCTTCATGAAGAAAGCAATGTATTCAGTTATCCTGAAACCAATCATGCAAGGGAAGTCCACTCAGAGGAAGCCAAATATAGAAACTAAATTCCGTAAAGCCATGAGCAACATGTTATCGCAGCTCAACCTTATGGAAATGCATTCTACATTAGAAGTATTTCAATCCTCAATTAAATATACCAGAGGCAGAACACCAATATGTTATTTGATAGGACTTAAACTTTACATTATGACAAAAATAATAGAACAGGGAAAAACAAAAAACAAATCCAATGAAATGAAATAGCACGATGCCTAACTTGAAACTCCAGTATATTTTCCCATTAGGATCTGGTATTCCAGCATTGTTTGTCATTTGATAATCCGAACTCCAGTTGTCCTTAAAAGATTCCAATCTCAAGCCAGTGATTCCATCTGTACCATTTGTTGGAACACATATAAGTCTAGCAGTGGTCAACAGACCTTGAGAGATTAATGGTAAAATCATAAACGTCCAATTTAAGAATCAAACAACTAAAAGAATTGTAGAATCTAAAACACTGCTGATGAATTATGTCCTTCAACTGCATCATATGGGATTCTAGATTTTGCAAATATTCAGTGATATCTCTTTCATGAATATAAACAGCAGATTCACGACAAACATCATAAATTTCCAAGAACAATAACCAGAGGCATTAAGGTGAGATCTCATTCTGAAAACAAAGAAAAAGTAGTGAGTAGCAAAAATGAAGGACACACCTGTAGGATAATTCTCCCTTGCCAGGAATATCCCCACAAATATGCAGAACAAAGAGAACAACACAGGTAAAAGAAAAGCTGGTGCAACTCTGTTGATCATTTTTACTCCACCAAACACTATGAAGCATAGGATGATTGTCACAATAATCCCATAAACTTGCAAGTCATGTAAACTTGGGCTGGTAATAGGTTGTGCGATGTCTGTGCCATTTATCCTTACAAAAGTCTCCTCTACAATCATAAGATTAATTTCAGCACATTCACAAAGCAAAAATATCTGATTTACACAAAGCATATTCAAATTATAAATTTATCCGAAACTTTAGACTAAACAGAAAGATTTATCATTCATTTTTGGTTTCCTCTTGACAACCATGACTTCCAGACACCTGTTTACAACTCCAATTCCTCCATCACAGTCCTGGTTCACTTACAGATTTCTCAATGTAGATTGGTCTGTCCCTTCCATACTCAGAACAAGTGCCCAACAAATCTCTAGTCAAAAGGCATTATATATTCATAACAGTTGTCACAATACCCAAAAAATTATAAAAAGTAAGACATAAACACACCACACTGCTAAAACTGGAATGCTTAATCATGGTGATGAACAAGGAGATTGGTTACAACTTAAACCCTATTTTCTTCACTAATTTTGGATAGGTAGCATGTGCACATTTTTTTCCCATTTTTTTGTGCCTTTCAAGGCAAACAGATTTTGGTACACAAAGGAGAAATATCCAAATATGAAAGGTTGAAGTATTTTCTACCAGTCACATGATAGTTTTTTTTTTTCTCAGCTTTTACCTCTAAAAATTCCAGCCTGAGGTATAGCATTTAGGAATGTCTCCACAGCTCCCAAAACATAACTGCATTAGAAAAAGAAAGTGGTGAAAGAAATAAAACATAGCAACAACATAACTTTCTTTGTCCCACTATGAGAAGGGAAATACAATTAACACGCAAAACATCAAAACCCCCATATCAAGATAGTATATACTCACAGTGCACCAGCAACAGCATTTCCAAGGAAAAAACATAAACCAATGCTCACTCCAACCTCCGGACCCAGGGCACGACCAATAAGATAATAGGGTCCCCCTCCCTGGATTAAACAGAGTTTAAGAATAAGTTAGAAAATAACTGACACTACAATTGATCAGATTCCACATCGAAAATAATCACTAAAGAAGTTTCCCTAGGAACAAGAGTAAACATTGTTTACCCAATGAAAGATATCAACAATACCTTCATTGCGCCATTAGTAGCTATTGCACTCAAAGATATAGTTGTAAGGAAAGTACATGAACCACAGAAAGCAACCAGCAACAATGATTGACCAATCCCAGCCATACCCACGATCCTAAAGCAGTAAAGCATACAGAATGGTTCAGAAGACGGATTATACAAATTTACAGAACACAATAAACATGAAAAGGAAAAACCGACAACAAATAAACATGGAAAAATTGAGTGAAAGTTTATCAATTTTACTCTGGTCTCAAGAGATTAATAAGGATTTTTAAGAAGTTGAAGCTCCAGTAGCCAAATAGCGATAGACATAGAGTTATGTTGTTAAATTCCAATTAAGAATAACCTTGTTTGTATGCATCAATGATTGTTAGCATCATGATGGGCATTTCTAAGAATGCTCAGAGCAGAGCATACAGAAACACAGAACATACCATGAAAACCTGATGTAGTAAATAATCCCTAAAATGTTTTGTAGACAAGGGACAAACACACCCATCATAGTCCCCAATTTAACACTGTTGGCCTGCATGATACATAACTTGCTTCAGAAGGAACATGGCAAAGAACAGTAGATCTATATGCATCATGTGACTTCTAAAATTTTCAGATAGAATGATTTGTTTCTAAATTTTATTAGTGCATGAAAGAGAGGGAGAAAACAAGAAAAAGAACATCAGCTAGACATCCGGGCACAAAAGAACACAGCAGTTCCATTACGGTTCTTTGATCCCAAATTACTAGATTATAGGTTCAAGATGTATCCTAACATAAGCAAACTGACAGTGAACAAATATTTTAGTTGAAAATTTCTCTCTTTACCCCCCAAGGGCCCCCAACACACAATACTGATAAGAAATCCAAAAACTAAAAATATAGCTCACATCGTATCCCCATATATATATATCCAAATATGTTCTTAGTTCTTCGCATTCTCCAATCCTTACTATGCATTTTCCACCAAAATAGCCTGAAACTTTTGGAAATGACATCAAACTAGCAATCAGGTTTTTCTACAAAATATAAACTTGGTAATGCTTCTAGAAACTAAATGGATCAAGGCATACTAGATTTAAGAGAAAGAGGCCTAGTTATCTGAATGTCACAAAAGCTAGTCCAGAACCAATATAATTCAAGAATTAATGTTCTAAAACACAAAAACATTTCTGAAAAAAAGGGTCCAGTGTTTTCCAGGCCGAAAAATACATCATCATGGTAATCTAGTTACTTGCCCAAATACCGATCTTTTAAGAGTGATATCACTATCATTCCATCTCAAATCCACCTTTCACATATTTTCTCCTCAGTAAGCTATCAATAAGACCAAGTTCAAACTGAAGGTGCTTCCTCATCTTAGAAAAATGATAGAGAAGATGAGGAATTCAGAAAGTCCATAAAAGGACACTGTTTCCTCCTTTAAGAAATTCAGAAGCAACATGTCCCAAGAAAAATGAAAATCGAAACTAATGGCATGTGATGGACATTTAAATAATCATGGGCCAAATATAAGGTAGCCAAAAACAGCAAAGATTAAGCAACTCTGCCCAACATAATCCACTGGTACCTGTGGGCGCTGAATTGATGCATCATCTCCATCTCTAGGACTGGATGGTGCTTGAATCTGGTCACCTGCCATACTGACAAATGAACATTCATCAAACAAATTCAGACTATAGAAAATGAAAAGCAGTTAAATTTCAAGAATATCAATAATCAGACACAATCATCTCAAAGACGAATGTAAATGACAACACAATATAACTGATGCTTCAGATTTTCCTCCTAGGAAATAATATGAACAAAAATGAAACAAATACATCACTTGCACCGTACCTTTTGAGCCCCAAAATATTAACGAGTGAGTCAAAACCAAACAATTCCAATTTGGAATCATTCTGACCACCATTGGCAACTCCATGATTAGGTAATCGCCCATCACTTCCCTCAGAACCCTTACTTGCTCCCACAACTTTTCTACAAGTGCAAAGGTGTCATATAAACATAAAACTTAGAAAGAAGATGCACAACAAGAAATTAATAACCAGAAACGGATAAAGAAATGAACTTTAAGTGATCAACAGAATACAGATATATCAGAGTAAAAACCAGAACACACAAGTGTGGTAGACCAAGTGCAGCAACTTCGACTAACTGATGAATAAAATAGGAGAAGCACAATCAGCATTTATTACTAAAATCCAAGGCAAGTCCAAACCCCTAAAGGCTATACCAAAACAATAAACACAAATACCCCATTCGCCACAACACAACACACAACCAAAGTCATCACGCTTCACAGTAAATTAAAAACCGGGAGTTACTTGAGATCACTGGCGCCATTCATAGAAGCTGAAGAAGATGGATGGACACTAGGGTCAATCGAGGACATCTCAAGAACGGCTCGATCATGGTCGTGAGCAAATACTGGCCGGTACTTGCGCCCACCCAAACCCCTCCCCGATGAAAACTCGTTTTCCTCTGACGCCTCTATCTCCACTCCAATGTTTTCAGACGCCATTGCATTGATTTCAATCGGTTCGTTCGATTCACTGTATGCTGTGTAAAGCCCAAAGCATGTAATCAGCAAGAAGGACAAAGAGGAAGAAGAGAACGAGGCTCAGATCCAATAAAATGAAATGTAAAAGCCGAGAACGATCTCTGAAAATTCAAACACAGGGATGAAGATGAAAAAATCAAATGTTGGGTTTGGTACTAATTTTGAAATGTTGTTTGTGTGTGTGGGGGGGGTGTGGGGGGGAAGGGTTTAAGTTTGAACTTTGAAAATGAAGGGCAGAAGAAAAGGAGAGTGCAAATTTCTCTTGCAACTTGCAAGATGTTGCGCTTGTTTTGACGGAGCCAGCGCGTGGTTACCACGGGGAATTGTTCACGCGTCTTCGCAGTAATATAAGTCATTACCTGCGGTTTTCTACTTTGCGGTTGACACACGCTTTCTGGCCATTTTAATACTACCTCCTATTCTTTTTAAATGTCATTTTGGCTTTATCAACTATTAACCAAAATAAATGTCGTTTTGGATCTTTTGTACATATTTTTCCATTATTACCCTCATTTAGTTAATAAATACACTACGTCTTTTCATATTCTCTTCATCTTTTTTTTTAAAACATCATCTCTATCTTCATTAATGAGGGTTGTTATTGGCAAAAAAATTATTCTTAATTAGTGTGCAACTTCCCAAAACGACACTTATTATGAATAGGAGGGAGTATGTCAAATGAATCTCCAATTTGCATGTTACTACGTTTTTATCAACTTTTAAGATGGTACTAATCTACTTTAATCTTTTAATTAAATAATCATCACTGTGTCATTTGTGGTGACTTGGCCTGTGTACGAGTTCAGCAGCTCACACGTGCATGAGTCGAAGCTCGACTTGTGTTCGAGTTTGATCGAGCATGAGTCGAACTCAACCACTTCAAATTTGAAGTCCTGCATGTTATAAGCTTGAGTGCTCGACGACAAATAGAAAACTTTTATTGAAATTTTGAGCAGAATTCGAGCTAATGAAATTTGAGTCGATCTTGAACCGATCTCAAGCATTTATATATTTTCTACAAGTCGAGCTCGAGCAGCAGAGAAAAAATGGAGATCTGCTTGATAAGGACAAAGATACTAGAATAAATAAGTAAATAACTAGACAAAAAAAAGAGCACCACATGTAACCACAAGTTGACAAAAAAGTTATAAACAGCAACAGAGCAAACCATAAGCCAAAAACTCCGATACCCAGCTCTCCTCAGCAATGGTGAGGATTTTTCTCAAGAAAAAGAAAAGAAAAATAATGAGGTGTAAATATGGAAACACACTAAAAATTGGCCATTGCATTTTTCATGATAACACCACCTATAAAAGCTCAATCATGCAGCAAATTCACCAACAGGTTTAAGAGATTGATTAGCTATTAGGCAACCACAAACTGAGTACCTGAACACAAACATAATTGTCACAATCAGAATTCCATACTTCCAAACAAAATCACATAGTGGTCGGACTTCGCATCCAAAAGTTGTTAAGAGTATTTTACAAAGAGTCGATCAATTCATGTAATGTACCAATGAACCAAACGTGCAGATTCTAGAACAACAATTTATGCATTTGGTTGACTTTCTTCAGCTTCAGACACCTCTTTTACTTCAGGTCGTGGTGTCGATTGTGGTTCTTCAGCTTCAGACTCTTTTTCTTCCGATTGTGGGGCAAATGGCTTTTCATCTTCATCAGCAGCATCAGACATTTTCTCTTCACTCTGTGCTCCCAAAAGAGCTTCAGTCACCACTTCTTCTTCAGTTTGCGGTTCAAAAACTTCTGCCCCCATTCCTTCAATTCGCTTCGTTTTTCGATTTCCACAAAATTCAATCACATCTTTAGCATCAGCCTCGAGGCCCGTCAACTTATTTTCCAAAAACTCAACCTTTTCAGCATACTCTTTAAACCGGCCTTCCCAATCCCCCGCAACTTCCTTCATCTTCTGCTCCATGATAAAACAACTCATCCTAAACTCCTCCTCTTGTTTCTTCCGGATCTTCTCTATCTCCCCAGCAGTCAGCATAAGCCCACCGGGCCCCACATCCTTGTAAACCGGTTCTTCCCGAAGCTGCGCCTTTTCCCTATATTCCGCAAACGCCCTCTGAGTTTCCTTCAAAGCCTTCCTATAACCATCCAGCACGGTCTCCATCAGATAAAGCTCTCGTTCGAGACGGTAAATCTCGCCATCTTTTTTCTGCAAATCCTCGAATCGGGTCTTGTGCAGGTGTTCGATAATCGAATCGCGTTTTTGCAGCTCGGAGAGAATAATCTGTTGGTTCATGTTCGCGTACTCCAATTCACTGGCCTTCTGCTCGTAAAGCATCTTTGCTGTCTCGGCCACATGCTGAATCTGCTCCATGCACGTCCCGAAGTCCATGTGCTTGTTGTTGTGGTCCCACGAATTGCTTATCCTTAATTTTTTGTTCGGCTCGTTAGGATTATTCATGAGATGGGTTTCGTTTTGCTCGAGCACCCTCTTGCCCGTATTGTTGAACAAGCTCATGTCATCCATTGAAGATTGCCTACCGAGCTGATCTTGTGGGTTGAAGGCCATTTGGTTCACTTCCATTGCTTGAAGCAAATTACCAGTATACCCCTTGTCCAGAGGAATATGGTGACTTGGGGAAAGTTCAAATTTATTCTCGTTTTCTTCCCCATCTTCCTCCTCCTCCACCTCATCCTCCTCAATCTGTACTTCCTCTTCTTCTTCTTCCTCTTTTTTTTCATCAAAGCTACCAAATTCCTCAGTATTTTCCTTGGCAGCACAACGCCTCATATAATGCTCTCCGAATTCGTTTGTTTCATTCAAACGCCACTGCCCTGGCTCGTTCTCTCTCTCATCTTCCTCCAGCTCATCATCCGCCACCTCATCACCATCACTATCCTTACATTTCTCATCCTCCTTCACGAATTCTTCTTTCTCACCATCTTGTCCGAGCGAAAGTACCGTGCTGGGTCCTTCTTCCACTGGAAAATCCTTTTCCTCAAGACTGTTAATATTTTCACCAACAATATTCACATCAACATCAACATCAACCCCCTCTTTAATAATAACTCCATGATCTTCTTCCTTATCATGTTCGGAATCAGATTTCACTGCAGACAACAAATGTTCGCGCTGAAATTTAATCAGGTGCTGCAAATGGGATGCATAGTAGCAGTCCCTTAACTGACTTCCTTGCTTCAACTCCTTCTCCACCATAATCCAGAACATGGTAGCCCAATCCACTTTCTCTGGATGCCCGTCCCTTATCAGCTTGAACAAATCGGTCACCTCATTTGGCATCATCCACGTGTCCTCCTCATGCAAAAGCAACCAATCTGAAACGAGTTCGCTAACAAACCCTATTGACTCGTCCGACAGAAGCTCGTTTTCCAGGTCCACATCAAACCCACCTGCATTCCCCTTCTTCTTCACAGGCAGCTTGAAAGCACGGGCCAGGTCAGCTCTACTGACTGTGATTCGACAATTATTGACATAGCTAGCACGCGTTTTCAGCTCATAAGTAGCAATCAGCTCCGCAATCAAATCGACCCTTATGTTCCTATCCAAATCGATGTGAACAAAGTCCCATAGGCCTAGATTTGCCAGAAGCCTCTCGTGCTTGGCGAAATCGGGGATCTTGTTGGGTATGAAGGGGATGGGGTTTAAATTTTTTACCAAAACTCGCAACTTTTCTTCAATAGCCTGCTGTTTCTTGGGGTTAGGTTTTCCCTTACCTTTGCCCTTCTTCCGCTTGCTGGCTCCCCGTCTGGCAATCGAGCCGCCAGAGGGCGGCGACGGGGCGATGACATCACGGGCGGACACGTGGGATACGGCGATTGGAGGCTCCACGTGAAGGGCTCCGCCCGATGAGGTGGCCGAAGTTTCTTGCGCCGGCTTTTCGTCTACTTCTCCGCCTTCCTCCTCTTCCTCTTCCTCTTCGTCGGGGCAGTGGAGTTCTGGATCGGTAGTGGGCGGCGGCGAAAGATCCGATTTTTGCGGCGGCGGCGGCGTTGGTGGGCCGGAGTGAATTAGGGTTTCTTGATTGGGGGGCGGGGAGCCCTCCTCGCGTACAACGGCGGATTCATGGATGTGCTCCAGCTGGTGGGATTGTTGAGACGGCGACGAACTGGACATTGGCTTGGGCACTTAGGATAATTTCTTGCTCTATCTTTTATTCTTTTACTCTGTGTGCTTCTCTGTATCACTTTCCTTCTTCAGACCAAGCGACTTCGCTCTTTTAGGATAGGATCCATCGTGCATGCGGTTCGGTTCGACTATTTAGTGTAAAAAAAATCAGTTAAGTTTCTGTTCAGTTTTTTCTAAGTTGCGGTGCGGTTCGGTTATTTTTGCTAGGTTCGGTTTTCAGCTTTTTACGATTTGGTGCAATTTTTCACTGAACCGCATCGTTGCACACTCCGAACACAAAGTTCTCCACCAAGAACCGCCCAAGAGACCCCACCTCCGCCCTGCCCACCACAAATACCGACAGCCAGAGCCCAAAAAATGGCCCCGCCAGAAAGATCCGCTACCATAACATCAGGGATAGCCGGATCGGGTGAGGACCAAGCACCGTCCTCAACCCTGACAGTTGCAGAAGCAGCATCAGCGCCAAACACCACACTACATTAGCAAGTCGCCAACCCTCTGCCGCCCAACTGCCATGACGAGCCGATGCAAACGAAAACCACGCGGAGAAGGAAAGCAGACCGAGAGCCAGTAGGACGAGCAGCGCCTGACCAGGAGCCGCCGCCGTCGCGGGGTGCGGAGCCTCGCCGGAGAGGAGGCTCTAAAGAGGTGTCGGAGCTAGGTCATGAGATTTTGGGATTTTGCTGACATGGATAGAGAATTCCACTCAAATCTCTACTAATAATAATTAAAAGAGAAAAATATGTTGTTCAAGAATGTATATCCATAGTTTTTAAACCCGATCTGGTAATTCATCGGGCAAGCCTCTTGGTCACTTGTGGTGCACAAGGTCACAAGTCAATTGTTGAACTGAGTATTAATCTTTTAAATTATAAATATAGTATTTTTGTCATATATATATGCATAAAAGTGATAAAAATTATTTGTATGTAAATTTTGTACATCAAAGTGTTAATAGTAATAAACATTTATCATATAAATATTGAAAAATGCTACAAGTATATAATACATAACAATCACATGGAGTGAGGTCCACTTATTTTTTTATTTTTAGTAGGACCCACTTAATGTGAGTGTTATGTACACATCTATGTAGGCTTGTAAACAAATCAAATATTTTTGATTCGATTCGATATTCGAATTCGATATTCGTGATTCGAATTCGAATTCGAATACGAACAATGTTTTATATTCGAAAGATAAACGAATCCGAATTCGAATTTGTAGATATTCGATTCGAAATTCGAATATTCGATTCATTAACAATAATTATATAAATTTTATAAATTATATATAGTATACATTTTGTTTATAATATATATGTATATATATATTGTTATATTCCTACTATTTTTATGACATAAAAAGTAAAAACATCATAAATTAACAAATTTTCCTAAAAATATATGAAAAATAAAAATTATTTTTGTAATTATAATATTTTTTACTTATAATTTTTTTTAAAAACGAATTTCGAATCGAATCGAATATGTTCGAATATTCTACACGAATCGAATACGAATCAAAAAATGAGTTCGTTAACGAATCGAATATGAATTCGAATTTTTGAATATTTTAACGAATCCGAATCGAATCTCTGAGTATTCGCTTTGATTCAATTCGTTTACAACCCTACATCCATGTACATATATTATGTACATAGATGTGTACATAACACTCACATGAAGTGGGGTCCACTTATTATTTTATTTTTGGTAGGACTCACTTAATGTGAGTATTATGTGCACCTCTATGTACAGCATTATGTACTCATAGCATTTCTCATAAATATTTATACAAAGTTTCTATTTTTATAATAAAAAGTATTAAAAAAATATTGGGGCGCCGGATCAAATCGGGTTGACCCTAGCGGGTCGATGCCCTGGTAAAGGCCAGGTTGACCAATTTTTTGTCTAGTTTGACCGTCTACGAAGTCAGACTGGTCATGGGTCCGGGTCGACTCATCAAGGGCATTCGAGTTGGAGAATTGTGTATATATATTAATCTATATATAAAAAATTTGTATTTGGACATGGCCAAAAAATAAAAGATGTATTTTTTTACTACATCAGTAAATTATATTAAACTTATTGTGCAACTGATAAGAATATATAACCTGCCCCTTATTAGGGATGACAACGAGCCAAGTTGAATTGAGTAGTTCTGGACCAGGACCTGACTTGCTGCCCCGTCCTGGCCCGTGGCCCGCAGTGGGTCCACCTTGGCGGGCGCATGACTTGGCTCGTTTTGAGTCCAACCAGCTGCACCCCATTTTATTTTTTTAATAAACAAGTAATTATATTAAGATTTATATATAATATTATAATTATATAATCAAAGAAATAAATATATAATAAAAGTATAAATTACATAGAATATATTGAATATATTACTACATTCGGGGCAGAACAGGTTGATCTTGAACTGTCACCTTTAGTCATCATCCCCTGTAAAAGTTTGTTAATTTATATTGTAAAAATAGGATATGAGTCATTTCAGTGCGTGTTGAGTTATATGTCACCATATCCTGTATTTTTCGGACACGTGTCAGAAAAATTAAAACTTGGCAACACGTAGATGGTCATGTGATTTCATGCCTTTGAGATATTTGACGTTTGCACTTTAGTTGGACGGTTGTCTTCGTTCATACGATTGGTTAGGTCGGGATGAAGAGCTCTTTATGTTTATACTTAGATCCGCCAATGATTTAGATCGTAGAAAATCAAGGTCGGTAGCAATTTTTATTTCCAATGCCAATCTCACGAGTTTATAACATTGACAGTCGACACTTGTTAAATAATTTATTATTCGGTTTATGTATGTGATCGATATCTTATCAAGCTAGACTAGAAAATGATTTGTTGGTTTATTGAAGAAGGCCATATTGCATCAGCATCACGGAAATTTATGACAGTTCTATAAGGGTTTATTTGTAAGATTTAGAAATTATGTAAAATCTTTATTCTCGACTTAAGTAAGCAAGTTCGAAGTTGGCTTATTTTTCAAATAAAGTGAGTCAAACTCAAGCCTTACTATAAATTAAGTGAAGTTCACAAACAAACTCGTTTAATTTGTTCAACATTGAAAATCATAAATTTAATCGAATGATGTGAAAGAAAAAAAAAAAAAAAATTATGTGAAACGAGTAACTACTAGAAACTTGCATGATTTTGCTTCATCTGCAATCTATGGCCCGCCCCCAACTTTTTCACTACGGATATTTCCCTTACTTTTAGAGTTTTGGACATTTTCGTTACAGATACAGTACAGCAAACAACATGGCCCTCTCAAACCAAACCCAGCAAAAATAGGCAAAATTAAAACAATTCATTTATTTTATTTTATTTATCTATTTTACAGAAACCAAACCCTTAATTTTATTTTATTTATCTGTTTTACAGAAACAATTCATTTATTTCATTTTATTTGCCCAATGGCAATGGTTATTTCAAGAATAGACAATTAAACCAGACGGGAATCTTTATTGATAAATTTATTATATCATAATAATAATAATCATTAAACATAAATTATTAACTAATAATTAACTCTTCAAAATTTGATCACTTTCCTCCGTACAACGTTGTTGTTTAAATATTAATCATCAGCACGGCCCATTTTCTTCCATCACTGCACTGTCGATCTCTTACACACTCACATATGTATACACTATACACACACAAATCCACACAGCTTTTTCACATTCAGAAAAAAAAAGCTACTTTTTATTTTGCCATTGATTAATTTTTTCCAGCAACTTTCTCCCACATAGCCAAACACAGCCATTAATTTCCAGCTTCCAAATCTAATTTTCCCCAAAATAAAAAACCAAAAAACAAAAATCCCTCAAATTTGTATATGAAATCGTCTAAAATGTTAGACGCGCACAATAGAAATATTTCCGACGAGCCAATCTCTACCGACGGATTCGACTCCGGCAAAATCAGCTCGATGAGCAGCGACACGACGGCAAGCCACTGCACCAGCTTCAGCCGCCAGTCGTTCGATCTCCCGGCAAACTCTCCGGATACGGCGGCGGAGCCATCTCCGCCGCCGCCGCGGCCCCACCGCGCGAAGCCGCGCCTCGGTTTCAGGGACTTCAGACTGGTGCGGCAGATCGGCAGCGGCGACATCGGGAGGGTGTACCTCTGCCGCCTCCGGCAGCCGTCGACGGCGGAGGAGGCGGCGGAGGGGGAGGGACGGCGGTTGTACGCGATGAAGGTGGTGGACCGTGAGGCGGTGGCTATGAAGAAGAAGACAGGGAGGGCGGAGACGGAGAGGAAGGTGATGAGGATGCTGAACCACCCGTTCCTGCCGACGCTATACGCGGAGTTCGAGGCGGAGAATTTCTCGTGCGTGGTGATGGAGTACTGCGCCGGCGGAGATCTGCACTCGCTCCGGCACCGGCAGCCGCACAAGCGGTTTTCGCTTGCCTCAGCGAGGTAAATATTTTGGCAGGGTATATTTTTTTTCTTATAAAAATATTAAATCTTAATTTTCAAACTATAATGTTGATAATTTTTTTTTTTTTTTGATTTAATTCGCTTAATATGATTGATGATTTACATATCATGATATCTATGGATTTAATTATTTATTTATATATCTATATTGTTTTTCTGTGCTGCGAAATTTCCGATTGGGGTGTTCGATAGGAGCACTTTATTTATACATGTGATGTGTCGGGCTCGTATTTTCAGTTTGGCATTTTTAGATAAAAAGCGATTTTCAGAATGTCACTAATTTCAGTTATGCTTATGGCTTTTATATTCAAATAGGTAAAATACCCAATTTAGAGCATCTCCAATGGTCTTTCCATTGCTACCACATGACATAAAAAATCTGACGTGGCCTGAAAAATGTCTAGAAGGCTTTCTAGATGTAGAAGTCCTTCTAAACAACTTCTATTATATATTATATTATTTATTCAATTTATCTTTCTTCTCCAACCAATTACAATTTTACACATCACAAATGACACTACAATTAACACTAACCATTGGAGACAAAAAAATTTAATTCCCTTTCTCCATGTTATACATCACAATCTCCATTGGAGATGCTCTTAGGCTACTAACTTTACGAGATTTCAGAAAAATGTGCACCATATAGTTAGTTTGGGTACGTTATTAATTTTACCCAAACAATGTGACTTAGTGGGTATTTTATTTAATTTTTTATTTTGTAGTTTTTGCTTAATTTTTGCACTTTTGTAATATTGTGTGCTTCATTTTAACTAACTGATTGTACTATTTTCTCAAGAAGTAAAAAATTATTGGGCAAATTTCCTCACACGACCCAGTGGGCTGGCTGGACATATTTTATAATTGGAAGTACCATCAAATTTCATTCTATTAAATCCATCAATTTCACCTTTCTTCTCTCACATTCACATTTTTCAATGTAACATTTAAATTAAAAATACATTATTATTATTATTGTACATTTTTCTCAAGAAAATAAACAATTCACAGTAAATTTTCTTAATAAAAAAAATAAACTATTCGTTAATTTGCATATTCACAACTATTAATCATTATTTTACTAATTATTTACCATGGGACTGAAATTTTCAAATTTATTTCCAGATTTTACGCAGCCGAGGTTTTGGTCGCTCTCGAGTACCTTCACATGCTCGGAATAATCTACAGAGACCTAAAGCCCGAGAACGTGCTCGTTAGATCCGACGGCCACGTCATGCTCACCGATTTCGACCTCTCCCTGTGCTCCGACGCGATTCCGGCCGTCGAATATCCAGCCCAACCCGGCCGGCCGGGCCCGTTCTCCTGTCTCCCGGCCCGCCGACTTTTCGGGCCGAAAAAGGTCCGGTTCGTGGCCGAGCCCACGTCCGCCCGGTCCGGATCCTTCGTCGGGACCCACGAGTACGTGGCCCCCGAGGTGGCGGCCGGCGGGCCCCACGGGAGTGCGGTTGACTGGTGGGCCCTTGGCGTATTCCTCTATGAGATGGTGTATGGGCGGACGCCGTTCGCGGGGCCCACAAACGAGGCCACGTTGCGCGGAATCTCGGGCCGGGCAGTCGAGTTTCCGGGTGGCGCGTGCGGGCTGGAGGCGAGGGCCCGGGACCTGATATCGGGCTTGTTGGAGAAGGATCCGAGGAGGAGACTCGGGTCGAGGGGCGGGGCAGGGGACGTGAAGGCCCACCCGTTTTTCAAGGGGATGAACTTCGCGTTGATAAGGTCGGCGGCTCCGCCGCCGGTGTCCGGTTGGGCGCGCCGGCGGAGGGAGGAGGAGGATGAGGCGGTCGCCGGTGGCGGGCTTCTTGGTGTTTTCTGATGGATGATGGCATTAACGTAATAACGTAGTATTTGTTGTTGTAACTTTTAGTTGGGAAGAAATAAATAAATAATGTGTAGTATAGTTTAGAAATTGAGCGGTAATAAAAGGCGCTGACGTGGGTTGCTGTTGTCCCTATTTTAGTGAAGGAATGCTTTTCATGTGTACGAAAAACGTGGTTTTTAGTGAAGGCCAAAATACGTTTGATAAATATATAGAAATTTTGGTGATATGAGAAAGAATATACTACAGTGATACATTCATTATTTTCTTGAGTTTAGACTTAATTTTTTAACTTTGAAATGAAAATGGTGAAATTTAGTGCATTTTGCGTGTGAAAAATGATTGTATAAATAAGTATAATGCAAAATATTTTCAATAACTATATAATTTTTTACTAGTAATCCTTGTTTTTTTCTACTATGCAATTCAGCTAATTAGATGTCAATGCAATTAAGAGCATCTCTAATGTTACTTTTGACATTGTAAAATTTTGTCCATATCATTAACTTTTGAAATTTTGTTACTAATTTATTCTCCAATGCATCTTGTCATTAACTCTTTCATGATGATGTGGATGACATTTAATATTGACATTGTTGAACTCACTTTCTAATATCTAACACCATGTTAAACATGATGACTCATCAATCACTTTATATTTGGTTTATTTTTTTATTATTTTTGTATCAATCAATTATTATAATTGGTTCACCTATACAAATAACTTCTTATCAAATTGATGCATTGGAGATACTAATTTGATTCAAATTTTTATTCTTTTAACATTATTCCTATGTAGATTAACATTACAATCATTAATTGACATGTGTTAAAAATCATTGACTTTCAAAAGCATAGCATTAGAGATGCTTTAATAGGGTTTCACACTCACATAGCCTGGAAAATTTTGGAATAACTTGCCAAAATCAATTATACTTTTCGTCTAAATCAATGATGTGGTTCACATTTTTGGCAGTTAGCTGACGCGGCAAATTAGATACTTGCTAGTTGGAGAATTTATTTAATATGTTTTCTTTTTTAGAAAATAAAGGAAAAAAAGAAAATAAAATCGAGTTAAAAAGGTACCCAGAAATCCTCCTGAAAATGGGCATAGGTTGAAGCCAAAAGTTTGGTCCAGCAAATGTCGTCGTTCACTCGTTCTTGTTATATAGTAACATCGAAACGGAGACAAATCCCTATCATGTGAAGCGCTTTTTAGGATCGTGTTTGAAAGCCACGTTGTTTGATCATTTGTCCATCTTTATATGAAAGCTAACTTTTTTATTTTACAAAAAAGCCTAATTATTACTCGCGTAATAAACGAGTCGGGTAGTCTCCCTTGATAAATGAAAAAAGACTTGATTCGGGCTTGTCCCGTTTAAGTTCATAAAAGTTAGGACTTGATTTGGCTCATTTAATAAACTTAAATAACTAAACGAGTTCTTCGCAAGTATGAAATGTTTATTCATAATATAAACAAGTCCGACTGGATTGTTGCTTTCAAATTATATATATAGTTGTCCACAAACAAGTCAGTTAGTTGTTCGAGCTTGCCGACTTATTTAAATAAACAAATGTGTTGAATTCGAGTTTTAAACACAACTTATTTAAATGAACGAATGAGTTGAATTCGAACTTTCATGAATTGTAACGATATTCACAAATATGTCGGTTTGAATAATAACACAAGGTGTATAATTAAAATATATCTAAGATTTAGGTTAAGTTTACGGAGAAAAAAATAAGTTTTGAGCTCGTTAAAGTTCAAGTTCGACTCATTTATGTAATATGAACAAGTCATAATCGAGCTCATTAATCAGCTCGACTCTATAAAGGCTCGAGACAGAATTTAAGTATTAGAAGCTCGACATCGATTCCATACCCTATGTCTCTAGGCGATTGGATAACTCTGGTTAAAAAAAAAATAGAAAATAAGATTTGAGGGAAAAGATTACTTCTACAATATTATGAAATGTTGTAATTTTTTATTAAATTAATTACGATATGATTAAAAAATATAATTGATAGTTTAAAATTAGCAGATAGTAATTTACAGTGAAACGTGCAAGAGTTTAATTTAATTTTAAATTTAACACTGGAAATGGCTTAGTTGGGCTCTTGGGCTCAACTTTATACTCACACAGAAAAGAGACAGCTAGCCCAGCAAGTATTGAGATGGATGATATTGTATTTGTTTGCATTCATAACCACTAAAATTTGTAATTATTCATTATATTTACATGCATGTTATCTATATATATATATATATAAGGAGGAGCAACAAAACATTAAATTATATTATCATGCATTAAATTTTATTCTCCCTCCAAAATTTTCAACATTAAATTTTGTTTTGAAGTTATCATGCATTAAATTTTATTCTCCCTCCAAAATTTTCAACATTTAATTTCATTTTTAAGTTACAAAATAACGTGCTTGAATGTCATAAATTATGAGCATAAACCAATCAAAGGAGTTACAAAACTGTACTCAAATATTAAGTCACACCCACTCATGAAAATGGTCGGGTGTATTAACATAAAGAAAATGGTTGTAACGGCTCTTCCATATCAATTACTTGATCAAAATCAATTTTGAGAATTATTTTCTTAATTTATATTTTTTTTCATGAATTAACTATGATTTATTTTTGTTTTTTTATATTGTTATCTTTTAAAAGTATTCTTCTCTGTGCAAATGCACAGGTTGATTACTAGTTGAATTAATAGTACAATCAATTTTATTTGCATCAATATGAGTACAATCAACTAGTACACAAAAATTTCTTTGTGGATCCAATTTATGATTAATAAATTGTAAACAATATATGTCTGTCTATCCACAGATATTTTCCTACTTATACTACAACAAAAACTGCATTTAGAGACGCTAATTTTTTTCTTTAGTGACATTTATTAGTGTCACAAATAAGTTTACCTACACTTGCAAAAGTGTCACCAATTGTGTTGCTAAATTTGATGTCACGAATTTATTTGTGACGCAACCTAAAATTTATTTTCAATGGAGTGACTCTTTTTTTAGAGTGTCATTATTATTACGAGTTGTGACATAAAATTATAGCGTCGGTAAATCTCAATGCATGACGCTTTTTTATAGTGTCATTAGATTATTGTGACACGAAATTATATTGTTTGCAATTTTCAATACATTACACTTTAAGTGTGTCATTATAATTTTTTGTGACAAAGTACAAAGAGACTGAAAGACATTTCGTGAAAATCCATATTCAAATACAAACTTCGATCCACAATTGTAATCCAATGGTTCACTGAACAAATGATAATTGAAAGACTAGGACCATAATTTTCATCACATA